CACACACACACACACCAGCCTCTGCTCGGGTGGGCGGCAGGAGCCGGCGCGCTGCGCAGAGGGTGCAGCTTCCTCGGGGTTGATCGCACCCGGTGCCGTCGCGCTAAGAGGCCCTCGGTCTCCGACGGACAGTCGGCCGAGCGTCTCCTCCTCCGTGCTCGGCCGCGAATGCGCTGCTGGCAGAGCGATCCACCCGCGGGGCGTCGTCCCCGACGCGCTCTGGCAGGCTCCTCGACCGACGGACTTTGGGATGGCCGCCATTCTCAGCCCGACGCGGCTTGGGCAGACCGGGGATGGGGCACGTGTGAGCAGCGGGTGTTTTCAGACCCCCCCCGGAGAGAATGGGGAGTCTCTACCTGTTGGACAGCTGGGCTTGGCTATCACCCTGACACGCTTTTCTCCCCCCTCCCTCTTTTTTTTAGTGCTCCCTGGCCGGCACCTGGAAGAGTGACCTGGGCAGCACCATGAAGATCAACAGCGTCAGAGACATGGGGGTGTTCAGCGGCACCTTCAACATAATACCACATAATAACCCCATACAGAACTCTCTATTCCCGCTGCAGGGCATCCAGCACCAGGGGCGCCAGCCCACCTTTGGCTTCACCGTCAGCGGCTTCTTCTATGGTAGAGCCACTCAGTCTTTGTTGTGGAAGCAAATAGAACGGGAAGAGGGAATCTAGTGGATCTCCCCTTCCTGAGATCTGCCTCTTGCAGATTCTTTCACTGAATGTCCACCCTCCTTCCCCCCCCCCCATCAGATGGAGATGCCCAAATATTTTGGAGCCTATAAAACATTCCCAATCTAAAGGTAGCGTCGGTGAGTGGGGGTCTTTATGCGAAATATATCCCCCCCCCATTGGTACAACAACTTTGATCTGACAGGACCCATCGTCGCCGTCTTTGTGGGCCAGTGTCTGGTGGACGGGAACGGAAAGGAACAGCTGAGGACAACCTGGCTATTTCGTAAGCACGTGAAATCCGCAGCAGAGGATTGGGGGGCGACCCGGTAAGGAAACGCAGGGGCTGAACTGCTGTGCCCCCTAACTGGAAGGGCCCTGGGCACCTCTTCTTTCTCTCTCTCTTCCACCCCCCCAAAGTGGCTCTTGAAAGGGCGCCCCAATGGTTTGCCTCTCTCTGGGCAGCTCCTGCAGGAGAGGCTGGCATTTTGAGTCTAGGAAACTCTGTTTCTGCCACTTCCCCCACAAAGGAAGGCAGCAAAGCTTTTGAGCAGCTTCCCCAGGTCCTTCTCACTGACAAGTGTGGTTTGGGTGGCACCACAGGCTGGGTTGCCCACAGCTGGCAACACTTGGAGAGTTGGCATTAATTGCTCTACTCAAATCAGAAAGCAGTAGCCCAGCACAGCCCCATATTTGTATGGGGCAAAGAGGCCACCTGGGTGCCTTCCCTGAGCGAGCGCAAGGCCTGCAGCTCTGCTGCTCCCCTCCAAAGAGGCCATTTTTGCAGCCACCTGGACGGAGCTGCTTGACGGGAAGCCACCAAAGACCTTGGAGAATTCGCCCAGCCTGCTTTGGGTCTTGTCATTCCCCGGCCCTGGCCGCCTCTGAGAACCAGAAGCCTCCATTTCCTTTGCCCTCCCTTTTCATTCTCACCTGCGTGGATGGGAGGAGGGAATAGGGTGGGGGATGGGATGCTCAGCCTGGGGGGGGAGACATCAATCATGCCACCATGAATTTTGACATTTCCCTCCCTCCTGTTTCACTGTAGGGTTGAAAGGAGCACCTTCTACCGCAGAGAGTGATGGTGAAGAAAGCAAGGCTTCCCTGGTTTCTGCATTGGGGGGCCTTGGGGGGGTGACCCTTCCAACCTCTCCCATCAGACGCTCTTCTCCAATAAAATGTTTCCCTGAGCAGCCTCGGCCTCCCTGGTCTTTCAGAAGCTCCCTGGGTGCCAGTCTGCAGGTTTCCAGGAAAGGCTGGGTAGGACCCCCATCTGGAGTAAGGGCTCTGGGGTAAAGAGTTAGCTTTGTCTCTACTACTGCTCTACTACTGTTCTGCACTTTACTCAGCCTTTGCCCTTGAAGACTTTGGGAACCTGCAGCTAATTCACTCAGGATCTGGCCTATTATTTTATTGGGAAGTCCTTAAAGGGTTTTTGCAAATGAGCCATGAATTAGCTTCACCCAGACCTCGTCCATCCTAAACACTTGGCCCAAGCTTTGCTTGACAGAGTCATCCTTAGAACCAGCACTTAGCTAGAACCTATTTCAACACTTACCTGAAGAAGCCAAAGAGGTTGACCACAAACTGTTCACTTATAACAACTGGATTTGAAATCAAGAATTTTGCAAGTGGAGTAGTTAGAGGAACAAGAAAAAGTAACGTGGCATTTTGGCTTAAAGGTCCAGAGACAAAAAGCTCCACCTTAACATGCCAAAAAATACCCCCAGAATTGAGAGCTCATTTAATTTTAATAACTTTTTATGTCACCCATTTCACTAATACAGCAACTCTGGATGACATACAATGAAATAAAAGTCAAAATGCTAAAAAGAATCGAAACTAGAATAAAGAGATTAAAAGTTAAGAACCAAGATGATGGACAACTTGGGGGTAAGATTTTCTCTACCCAATGAGACACCTTCAAGATACCCTACCCTGTCAGCCCCTCAGGCTGAGTGGTTGAACCACGTTTTCAGGCTCTTCCAGAAGGCCAGGATT